ACCTGGCTCTGTGCAGGACGCTCGGGAGGAAAATGCAGTGATCAATGTCCCCCACACGGCCAGCACCACCCTGGTGCTGCAGCTGCAGCCCGCTGACCTGCGGCCGCCCTGGTTCCTGCCCTGCGTCTACGAGGACAGCCAGAACTGCGTCCAGGCCCAGTACCGGGGGACCGTCCCCACGGGCATCCAGCTGGTACTGGGCCTGGGCGGGCCGGGAGGGCGGGCGCCCCGGGCTCCTGAGGGCGCTGGGGCCCGAGTGCCCCGCATGCCCACCACCTCCCGAGACAAGCCTTGTCCAGACTGGACACCTTAGCAAGAGACTGTACGGGCCAGTGGCCGCGCGCCTGGACACCCCGCGGTGCGCGCCGCGTCCACGCGGCCCATGGCCCTGCCCTCCCGCTCTGCTCTCCGCAGCCCGAACCCCTCCCCCTGTTCCCCGGGCCGATCTACGCCGAGGACGGGGACAGGGCCATCGGCCAGCGTGTCTCCTACAGCATCATGCGTGAGTGTGGCCTGGCCGGCAGGGTTGCGGGGCGGCTTGGGCAGAGCCGCGCGGGTCCGGGCTGAGGGGCCAGGCGCCGCTGCGTCTCCTGCAGACGACCCCGAACACACCTTCGTCCTGAACGAGACCTCGGGCAACCTCACCATGAGCAGGAGCGTCCCCAGCCCCAGGACTTTCAACCTGCTGGTCAAGGTGGGTGCCGCGTGGGCGCCCCGGCCGCCCCGCCCCCGGGCCCGCTGGTGACCGCGCAGTGTCCCCGCAGGCCGAGCAGGAGGACAAGGCCCGGTACTCCGTGACCCTGGTCACCATCAAGGCGGAGGACCGAGACGGCGACGAGAGCCTGCCCGCCTTCCCCCTGCAGGAGTACCGAGGCTTCCTGGCGCTGGGCGGGGGCCCCAGGGTGGCCGTCAAGGACACCTCAAACCCCTCCCAGCCGCTGACCGTCAGGGCCCACGACCCCAAGTTCCCTGTAGGCACCGGCCGCGCCGCGCCCCGCCC